TCTGGTTTTGTGGGGTCAGGCTTTAATATCATTTTAAGGCCACGCCATTAACATCTTGTGTGGACTTTGGCGGAACGGAAAGCTATAAAGCAAAACATTAGCCAGCATATGTCTGTCCTTTTGTGTGTGTGTGGCCCCTGACAGTACATCAAACAGAAATCTACTATTATATCAGCCTTCCACAACCTGATGTCCTCCAGATCTTTTCTAAACTTTCAAAAAAACTAAATCCAAACAATTTTAAGTGCCCATAAGAAAACCAGGCTTAGAGAGCACTCTGGTTTTAGCTGCCTGTTGGAAACCTAACGGGAATGGGGCCAGTCTGACTTCCATTTGGCAGACAGGACTGCAAATGAGGTGCTACTACTAAGAGAGCCCTGTCTTTTGCGCTCCAACCTGGCCTCTCAAAGGAACAAGCAGGGCACACAACGGAGCCTCTGCTGAAGATAACAAATTGTGGCCAGCCTTGTAAGAGAGAATACTCTTAATATTTATTTATTTATTTGATTTTTTTAATACCACCCATCTGGCTGCCAAGGCCACTCGGGGCAGTGAAACAATAACAACAACGCATCTGGCTGCCAAGGCCACTCTGGGCAGTGTACAAGTAGAATGAAACAATAACAACAACAAGGATAGTCAACAACAGCCAAACCAAAAAAATATATATGAAAGGTACTGTACTAAACAAATTACACTTCAGAAAACGCATAATAATAAAGTAAAATGAAAAGCATGGTGTTAGGTTGGATGTTAATTGTTAAAAGGCACTATTCTATCAGGATGTATTCAAATCCCGGAAGGCCTGTCTAAAAAGTAACATTTTAATATATTCGCGAAGGCTTTCATGGCCGGGATCTAATGGTTGTTGTGGGGTTTTCGGGCTCTTTGGCCCGCGCCAACTACACCCGAGCACAGAGTGTTGTCCTCTGAAGATGCCGGCCACAGAGACTCGCAAAACGTTAGGAAGAACAACCCTCAGAACACGGCCAAGGAGCCCGAAAAACCCACAACTAACATTTTAATAGTTTTTAAAAGTTCTCAATGAAAGGGCCAGGCGAATTTTGGGCAGGAGACTGTTCCGCAATTGTGGGGTCACCGTCGAAAAGGCCCGATTTCTGGTCGTCATTTTTCAGGCCTCTCTCAGGGTCAAAACTCTCAACCGCCCACCTGTGAAAATCTTACAGGGTGGGCCGATCTGGTTGGAAGGAGGTGTTCTGTCATATATCGAGGTCCTAAACCGTTTAAGGCCTTGTAGGTTAACACCATACATAACCTTGAAGCTGGCACGGAAGTGAACAGGTAGCCAAAGTGGGGGAAATGTGTGGGTGTCTTCTAGTCCCACTCAGCCATCTGGCCACTGAGTTCTGGACCCGTTGGAGTCTCCACAACAGCGCCAAGGGCAGCCCCATGTAAAGAGCTTTGCAGTCGTCTAATCTCGAGACTACCAGTGCATGAACCAGCATGGTGGGGGAACCAGTGTCAAGATAGGGACACAACTGGACAATCCAGCTTAGATGGAAGTAGGCAGAACAGACCACAGACACTGTCTGGGGTTCCATAGACAGTGCCAGGTCCAGGAGCATGCCCAAACTGTGCACCTCATCCTTTGCAGAAAGAGTCCCCCCCAGTAAAGAGCTTTGCAGTCGTCTAATCTCGACTTTCGTCTAATCTTTGCCTGTATCCAGGCAGCGCTCAAGGGATGGGACAGCATCCACTGCAGAAGGGTGGAAGGAGAGAGAGCGAGAGAGAGAGCTGGGTGTCATCCGCATATTGGTGACATGAAGCTCCAAAACTCCTGATTACCTCTCCCAATGGCCTCATATAGATGTTAACTAGCAAGAAACTGGAAAAAAGATAATCAAAAGAGAGGGAAGCACCCAGACTGCAAACACTAGGGCCCTGCATTCGCAGGATTTCTGTCTTGCCCGGGTTTAGCCTCAGTCTGTTATCCCTCATCCATCCCAGCACTGTATCCAGGCAGCGCTCAAGGGATGGGACAGCATCCACTGCAGAAGGGTGGAAGGAGAGAGAGCAAGAGAGCTGGGTGTCATCCGCATATTGGTGACATGAAGCTCCAAAACTCCTGATTACCTCTCCCAATGGCCTCATATAGATGTTAAATAGCAAGAAACTGGAAAAATGATAATTCAGCCTAAAGGAATGGTATAGAGAATTATGGGATATGGCAATTAATGACCAACTGACATGTGATATGAAAATAAGAAGAAGCCAATCAAATAATAATCATTTTAAGAAAATACGGAATGTATTTTTGGAATATGTATTTCGGAGAGGAAAGGGGTATACACCGAGGGAAGAAACTGTATTTTTGGAGGGAAAATGGATTGAATGAAGTTTAATGCTGGCCCTGAATGTGAAGGTGGCACTGTGTGATATGTAATTATATTGTGTTTTCTGTTTATTTTTTTCTGTGTGGTAGTAGGTTTATGTTGTGCAATTCATTGTAGTAAAATATATATTTTTTTTAAAAAGATGTTAAATAGCATTGGGGAAACGATTAACCCCTGCGGGACTCCACAATTGAGAGTCCATGGACTGGACAACGTCTCCCCAAGCTGAACTCTCTGGGGACAGTCCTTCAGGAAGGACCAGAGTCAAGTCAAAGCTAAACCTCCAATCCCCAACCCAGAGAACCTCCCCAGGAGGATACTATGATCAGTGATATTGAAGGCCACTGACAGAGGTCAAGGAGGACATTTTGCACTTGCCTCCCTCAGAAGGTCATCCTGCAGGGCAACCAGTGCTGTCTCCATGCCATGACACGCCAGAGAACCTCCCCAGGAGGATACTGTGATCAATGATATTGAAGGCCACTGACAGAGGTCAAAGAGGACGTTTTGCACTTGCCTCCCTCAGAAGGTCATCCTGCAGGGCAACCAATGCTGTCTCCATGCCATGACACCGCCCGAACCTGGACTGGAATGGATCAAGGGCGTTGGTTTCCTCCAGAAATTCCTGAAGCTGGTCGGACACCACTCTATTAACTTGCTTATAAAGAGGTGCAGAGCTGGAAGGGGCCCTATGGATCATTGAGTTCAGCCCGTCTAGAAGGCACAGTGTTGAATCGATCTCCCAGCTACTGCCTAAAACACTGAGCTATCCAGAAGGTGGCCTTTCACATGTTTCTGTCCCAAAGCTTACTCCTGCTTTCTCTTTTCAATCTTGCTACATTATTCCCTGCATTTCTTGTAATGTTTGTCACTTTAAGCAGCAGTGTCATATTAGTTCTGATGAAAATATAAATCAGGTGTGACCCTCCAGATGTTTTTAGGCTGCATCTCCCATCATCTTTCACAACTGGCTTTTCTAGGCAAGGTTGTGGGAGGCTATAGACAAAATTATCTCTGAGTGCGTGCGTGTGTGTGTGTGTCAGAGCTATCCACCTCTGCTATAGAGCTAAGGAAAATTATTGGTAGCTTTTCTGGGTAAAGGATTTCCTTCATAGAGCTCTACAATGTATAAAGAAAAAGATGCTTTACTCAACTCATAGAATTTACAATGTGCATATGTGGAAATCCAGCACAATGGCAAAGTTATACACCTTCGCCTTACTGGTTGTTGTGGGGTTTTTGGGCTCTTTGGCTGTGTTCTGAAGGTTGTTCTTCCTAAGGTTTTGCCATTCTCTTTGGCTGGCATTTTCAGAGTACAGGAGTAGCACTCTGTGCTCTGGTGCGGTTTGTTTGGGAGTTGAGTATTTATAGCTGTGGGATCAGCTTTTGTCGTTTTCAGGAGATGGGTGATTATGGTGATCAGTGTGTTTTTGTAGTGGGTGTATTGTTGTGATAAGGAGGAGAGATTATTGTGACAGAAAAGAAAGGCAATGACTCTCTTTAGCTTTATGCAGCTACGGACTACAATCTACCTGGAACTCAATCCCGTTTTTGCAGCCCCATACTCAAAGAGTAATTGTGGGGCCTGATTTGCAGTGGGGCAGATCAGCATTTCAGTATAAGAAGCTTATTCTTATGTGTTGAGAATTGTGACAATGACATTTAATGTACTTGTATTGTCCCAAATTCAAATGGGTGCTGATTAAACAGCATCGAGGACTACAAGTTGTGCTCGGTAATAAGTGAGAAACCTAGGAGTTCCATGATTTCTCAACAATTACTTATAGGATCAGCAATAAATACCAGTTAGTGTATTAAGAATTGATAAAGGCAAATATAAAGCAACTACAGATAGCTCTTTTTGAGAATATTTATAGCTAGAGTTATTCTATTAAACTTTATTTTTGTCAACTCCAACTCCCAGAGTTATCCAAGAATTCTACAGGCGGACTTTTTGTCAACTCCAACTCCCAGAGTTATCTAAGAATTCTACAGGCAGAATTCTGGGAGTTCCAGTCCACAAACCCATATCCACGGACATCTACATTTTCTTCACCTGGTCTAGGGCTTACCTCAGGCTGGACAGGTGTCTCAAACCTTGGTTCCTATTAAGGTACAAAAAAAGGAAGCTGCAGTGATGCTCCCTGGGAGTTGTAGTTTTTCTGCCTTTTAGGTCCTATAGAGCAGTGGTTCCCAACCTTGGGTCCCCAAATGTTCTTGGACTAAAACTCCCAGAAAGCTTCATGATTAGCTGTGCTGGCCAGGATTTCTGGGAGTTGTAGTCCAAGAACATTTGGGGACCTAAGGTTGGGAACCAGTGCTATAGAGGGCACCTCCCTGAGAACTACAAACCCCAGGAAGCACTGCTACAGCTACTTTTTTTGTACCTTAACAACAGGAATCAATGCCCAAGACAACCACGTAGCCTCAGAGATAGCCCTGATGTAAGTGTTTGTCAATGTGGATCTGTGGACTGGAACTCCCAGAATTTTGTCTGGGGAGAATTCTGGGAGTTAGACCCCAGACAAAGAAAGAAAAAAAAAGGAAGGAAGGAAACCAAAACAAATAGCACACCTTTATTTCTAGCCAGACCACTACATGTGTACCCTTTTGCAGTTCTCAACACATAAAATAAGAACAGCTGAATGTTTTGAGGACTTGTTTATTCACAGTTTTCTTTAATAAACATTTTGTTGAGTTTACGGTGGACATAAATACAAATCTTTATGGCTCAGGTTATAACACATATAATATTAGATGTTAGAAAACAGTTAATGCATCGTAGTGGTTATGCTCATACCTCTTCCTCTTATATCCCTCAGATATGCTGCATTTTGGAGTCAGAAGCAAAATCTGGTCCTCCTAGCAACACAGTGGTATAGATTTCTCTATGTTGACTCTAAAAGTACATTACCATTGGCTTGCATCCAACATCAAAGCAATATCGTACCAATATGCAATATATTACAAGGCAAATATTGTATTTTTGTACTTAGTTACAGGTTAGCATTTTAGTTTATACCTATGTACAGTTTTACATAAGATATTTTAAAGCTTTTGCTTGCCATAACATCTAGCAGCGCATACAACTTGTAGGAATCTCTACTGGCAGTACCTAGTGGGAGGGTCCCAGAAAGAGACGGTTTCTCCTTTGGACAACTGAGCCCTCAGGTGTAGCACAACTTTTGAAAGCCCCCTTCAGCTTTGAAAGGATCTACCACTGAGAAAGGAGATAGTTTTTGTAAAAAAGAAAAAAAGCAGTGGACTCTTGAACATTAGCATAATATTTCTTTGGATACTGACCAACAGCAGTAAAGTCAACAAGACTACCAACAGGTAGAAGCTTAACAAGCTACATAGGCTTTGAGAGATATAGCCATGGTATCTACATGGTAAAAGCTAGTTAGTAATAAATTCAATCCTGCTTTGTTTTTATGCTACTGGAATTTATTCTATTGATTTCCCAAGCCAGTGGTGTACAATAGATACATCAAGAAGACAGTAGGTTTCTTTAATATTGGTTGGTTTAGAGACAACTGACCTGTGCAGACATGGGGACAGTGTAACCTTCCAAATACCATTTGACTGAAGTGCTCATCAGCTGTGGTTAGAATAACCTGTAGTGAGGAATCACAGGCACTGCAGCCCAACAGCCTATGGAGGGCCACACTCCCTGGCTGAATATGTTGATCTAATTTATACCGTAACATTATACATCAATGCTAAAGCTGTATTCAAGACATCTTCTAACCCACTATGAGAAATGAGTTCACCGAGTATCATTAGACATTTATTGGGCAAGCTGGGACAAGAAGTAGTATATTTATTTATAGTATTCAGATAAATCTTAAGCTCCTTTTGTTGGCTCCCATTCATTGTTCAAGTAAAGAACCGAAGGCTCATTTAGGTTTTCTTTGCTATAAAAACCATATTTCGACTACTGTGGAGTCTAACATTTACAAGCTGAAATAAAAGGTTCTTCTCTTTTTGCATTTGTAAAATGAGCTGGTGGAGGGGGGCTAAATAAAAAAATATTGACCAATCTATAGCAAACCTTCTAGACATCCACTATCCATGTCTATCCACAGTAAGATCAACCACATTCTTGTCTTGCCCAATTGGTTATATGTCTCGGACCACTACCTGGTGATCTTGATTATTAATCTGATGATCTTGATTATTAACTAACTCATTTATTGATTATTAACTATCTTATTTATCCCAACAGCTCTACTGTTACATATGACCAATTCTAATCCATTGCATCATTGATTAATAATTGAGTTGGTTAATAACTGAGGTACCGTTACATTCAGTGGATATTTTCTAATTATGACCAAGTCTGGATCAAGCCATACAGGTACACTTAACTCCCTGGCCATAATACAAAATTTCACCCTGCATCAAGGAATGAAATGGGGCAGCTAGATTTCTAAGCGACTCAAAGCTGTTCCTGTATTCCGGTTCTTCCTAAAGTGGAGATATTAATTGGTATACTAAGTCATTAAACATTTTTAAAAATTTAAATCCTCAGCTCTTCACATGGGTCAATAGCATAGAGATGCTATATTCTCATAGTCCCAAAGAATTTCTGAATTCTTGATACATGTGGATAAATAGGACTGTGTATCTGTGCAGTACAATGATAATGGATGTCATTCTAATTGGGGCCCTTCCCCCGCTGCTTGCAAATGATGGTGCACTTCCTCCCATAGATATTAAGCAGTGGGCTTTGCCTATATTCATGATACATACTTCAGTTGATCACAATTGATCAGCCTTATTGATAATGTGCACTTTCAGCACACATGGATGCACTATGTAGCGTTTATCTCTGTCTAGTTGTCTTATGGAGACATCACAATCACTTAATATTATTGGTCTTTTAATTGTCTTACTGGTTTTGCCATGATTACTCTTATACTACCAAGTTATTCAAAACGTATACATAGTACATTTAAACAAAGCACATTCCACTGCCAGCAACAGAATGTACTATGAAGTGGATGAGCACCAAAGCACAAACTACTGTCCATCCTTTTTAAACTCTATAGTCAACTTAAATGAGGTGTTTTTTGTTTTGTTTTTTGCATATTCAGGATGACAAAGTGGTTAAACAACAAGATCCCCACGTAAAATAATCTCTTAATCAGTGACAGATGTAAAACATGTATTCCATGTTTCAAAATTTTAACATTTATATTCTACAACATTTATTTTTAAGTGCTGAATCTTACAATTAGTATTGCTTCAAAGGATATAAATCCCAATTAATATGTGACAAAACTGCATTTTTCTTTTCCGGTACTTCCTTGTGGAAATCTGTACTATATCTAGAGTCCTTGGAGTTACCCTAATAGACTATATTGGAATAATCATTACTCAAAAATGTTTGGTAAAATGAATAACACATATACTGCAAGGAAAGATTCCTTAAGGAAGATGCATCAGTGGAATGCTATTTCATCCTAGTCTTCACTTAAGGTACTCTAGACCATGAAACTAGAGCATAAATAAAGGCAAAATTGCAAAAAGAACTCAAAACAACTCCGTTTCTGTTACAGAACTTTCATGAAGAGTTGAACATTTTCAAGCACAGTTCTGAACAAGAGGTCTCAGGTTACCTCTAGGAGTGTTAAGGAAGCCACCACTTTGACTTCAGCACAAAGTAGTTTTATGAATAGGTGGACCTTTTGCAAATATTGACACTTAACTCAGAAGGCATACTGAGATGAGGTCACCAAAATTCTCTTGTGAAGGAAGTTTATTTCCTTCACATAATCATTTTTTTTAAAAAACCACTTTTGCAAAGTGACATGGTATTATCATGAATGCTTTTAGATCTTCAAGAGTGGGATCTGCCAAACCATTACGGATGAAACTAGTTCATCTGGCCGTTGCTGCTTTGACTTCTTGTTCACTCTTCTGTGCCCTTGTCCTCCAGAGATGACCAAGACTGATATTGCTTTCCCTTCTTTAGATCGGCGTTTTTTACTCTGGTTAAGGGAGACTTCTTTCAGAAGCTCATACACAGCCATTTCCTCAGACCTGTGTTCAGTTGTACTGGATCCATGAGACAAAGTCAAGGACCCAGAAGATGAAGACATGTCACTTTTTTGAGCGATGGATCCCACTGAATCTCCCAACCAAATAGCATTTTCATTTGGATGGCTTAGAGAAGAACTGGGCCTCTCACTGGGTGCAACGTTTTTCTGGCCATCATCTTTCAATCCTGAAGAAGGACGGTTCAGACTGTGCCTTGATTTGCTTTTGCTTCGCTTGCTTGACACGGAAGCCATGACAAGGAACTTAACAGGGCCATTATGCGCATGGTAAGAGACCATCCCTCTTCCTACAGCCAATAATGAAAGGAAAGAAAAAGAAAAAGAAAGAATTCTTAAAAGGAAGAATTCTTATTGTTTTGGTCATTATTTAACTATCAACACGTTCTTGCTCTCTCTTTTCCTAATGGAAAGCTATAAAACATTGAACAAAGGACCTTGCTAAGTTACTGTATATCTTTATATATTGTTAGGTCAGGATGGGTTTAGCAGCCATATCCGCTTGCCTGCAGTAGCCTTGACTCATGGAGGAGCCTTCTGCCCTTTTGAGGGAGGTTTTTGTCTTCTATATGCACATTACATTATAAACCAGCCTACTGAGTAAGCTTTCCAAACTCTCCTATGAAGTATCTCCAGGGTGAGGCTGCTATGGAGAGAAAGGACTAGGACGTTACTTCTGATTGTCTAGTTGCGCGCACTAAACCCTGAACCCAGTCCAGTGTCAAGATCTATATAGCAAATGTACCTAAAATTAATGAGAATAACTTCTTTACCCAAATACTGGCTTTGGGTCACAGCCCCATGGCAGGTGTTCACTGCTGTTCTTATTTTCACCTAACTTGGTCTCTATTCTCCAGATTCCTACTGTGAGTAAATGCTTGGCCTGTGGCATCCCTCAGGGTTCTGCTTTGTCCCTCATGCTTTAAACATCTACATGAAGCCACTAGGAGAGGTTGTCTGGTGTTTAGTGTAACCAGTATGTGGATGACACTCAACTTTATCTCTTCTTCTCATCTAATTCTAAGGAAGGTGTCTTGGTTCTAAACCAGTGCCTGTTATTAGTAATGGGCTGGGTGAGAGGCAAACAAACTGAAACTTAATCCAGGCAAGACAGAGGTCCTCCTGGTCAGTAGGAAGGCAGGTGAGAGAATAGGGACACAACCACTGCTGGATGGTGTTACACTCCCCCTGAAAACTCAGGTTTGCATCTTGGATGTTCATTCCGGAGCCTGGATGCCTGGATTTTGGTGGTGGCCAGGACTGCTTTTGCACAGTTAAAACTGGTTCACTAGCTGCGCCCATTCTTCGAGATGTCTCATTTGGCTACAGTGATACATGCCTTAGTTACATCCCACTTGGATTACTGTCTCTGCAGACGGTTCAGAAACTTCAGCTGTTTCAAAATGCAGCAACCAGATTTGGGGTAGTTATACAGAGCATTGAACACCCCCTGCTACAACAACTGCACTGGCTAACAGTCTGTTTCTGGACCCAATTCAGGGTGCTGACCATTTCCTATAAACTCTACGCAGCTTGGGTCCAGGCAGCCTGAAGGACTGTATCTTCCCATGTGAACACTTTTAAGGTAATCAGGGGAGGCCCTCCTCTAAGTCCCACTGCTAGCTCAGGAACTGCTGATGGGGAAACGGGTAAGGGCCTTTTCTGTGGCAGCTGCCAGCTGATGGAATGCTCTCCCTTGGGAGATCAAGCTGGCTCCCTCCCTTTTATCCTTCCACCAACAATTGAAGACCTACCATTTCAGGCAGACTTTTAACAACTGAGTTCCCACACCAACAACTGAAGACCTACCATTTCAGGCAGACTTTTTTTAACAACTGAGTTCCCGAATGTCTTTTTAAAGTTAAAGTTAACTAAGAGTTTTTAATTGTTCGATTGTATTTTAACTAGCACATAGTTCATTTTTTTGTTAATGTTATCTTACAGTATATCACAGAAGTGAGTACACCCCCTCACATTTCATAAATATTTTAGTGTATCT